TTGTATTTCTTTGGTCAAGATTGACAAGTTTTTTCATAACGAACTGAACACAGACCTTCCATCCAAACTTAACTTAACATTAAATAGAGTGACGAACAAGTGGTGATAACCACCATTCTTTTGATGAACACTTACCCATTTCTCATTTGGTTTTCTTTATTTCTTTGGAAATGTTTTCTTTTTGGTGGCATTATATTTTTTAAAAAGAAAATAAAAAAATTTTGATTGATTGACAACGCATACGTATTATTTATGTGATAGTTTTTTTTTTTTTTTTTTGTAAACAATTTATTTTTGACAGATGATGACAAAACATGAGTGTTGTTGTTTGGGTCTGAAGACATGTTAATAACTAACCAGAGGTACTATTTTTAATTTGCATTGATATAATGTGGTGTCTTTTAGTTATTATAAATATTATTATTGAAATCAAAATGCGGAGTAGATCTTGCTGGGTAATTATAAGATTATCAATTGGTATTTTGCTTTTCGTAATCGTAATCAATAATAATAATATTATTATTATTATTATTATAATTACAAGATGTCAAGGATGCATGACTGGAGCAATTCGAATATGCTGCATTTGATTATCAGAAATTAACAGATGCTGAAGCACGCACACTACCTTGAACACTTTACAGTCATTCTCTCATATGTTCCTCGTGTACAAAGGCTAATCTGACCACATTTCACCCGATGATACATTGATGCAACAGAATTCCAGGGGGATGCAAAGCTCTGGAGCTGCATTAAGACTGCATCAATTGTCAATGACACTTTTCACTAATCTTCCCTCACAGCACCAGACTAGAGAAGGCTGCTGCCATGTTAGCTGAAAAAATTGCCTGTAAAGATCCTACCTCTAAGGATGGCTCTGTGTCCAAGATGTTGCAACTCTGGAGGAACATTAAGAGAATCTGCAGCTTGTTTCAAGCACAGGAGGTTACAATTCAGAGTGGGGTTGGTGATCCTGAAATTGCATTTGGGCTCTTATGTTAGGAGAAAGGCTGTAAAATAAAATGATTCAGATTTGTTTAGCATAATGGACATTTGATTTCATTGGCTAATATTTGTGACGATTTCCTTCCATATATCATGCAAAAATTAAATTTTATTGGCTTGATGATCATTACGCAATTTGAAAACAAAATAAATTTATATAGGAGGGGAATTTGAATGGAATAAGTGAATTTCAAGTTGATACAAGAATATATTTACATACTTGGATATAAAACAATTATCATAAAATAATGGGTGTCGATTTAAAATCACATTTAAATAATATAAAAAAAATGCTTTATATTAAAGAAAATGAGGATATTAATAATAATATTATTAATATTAAAACTTATTTTTGTCATAAAAATATTAACTAATAATAAATAAATAAATAGGATATAGAATTATATAATAAATATATACAGAAAGATAAATTACATATATTTAAATTATGATAAATATAAATAAATGAATATTATAGTTTTTGTTTTTATTTTATTTGTATGAATTATGCATATATATCAAATGAATCAGAAGTGATTATTAACTAATCATTTATTATCTTCGACATATTTCTTTTTATAAATCCATGAATTTCCCAAGGTACCGGCACCTTGCGTATCAGCCATGCGATAATATTTTGCAGCTTTTTTCATATCCTATAATGGTTTAAATCAATAATATTTAATGATGATATCATTATATAATCTAATCAGACTACAATAAATAAGCAATAAGTACCTTTTTGACACCCTCGCCATGTAAATAACAAAATGCTAAATCATTTTGTGCATCCGGATCGCCAAAATTTGCAGCCATTTCGAAATAATGTGCCGCCATCTGTTTATTCTTTGCAACGCCCCAACCATGACGAAAACATATACCTAAAATTCAATTAATTTTTAAAAAAATATAAATACAAGAAGAGTATAAAAATATATAAAATAATTCTTGCAAAATTTTTTCACCTAGTTCATAAATTGCCAATACTAATTCATGACGTGCTATAGTTGGATTTGCTTCAACTGTAGCTTGTAGATCAGATATTGCAGAATTTGCAGCTTGTCGTAAATATTGTACAGCAAGCATTGGATCAGGTTTACATCCCTATATAATCAATAGTTGAATTAATAAATGAATTATTTAATAATTATCATTGCTAATAATAATAATAATAATAATCAACGTACCCAACCATGCCTTAAGGCTATACCATACAAGAAAAGACCTAAAGGACTATTTCTATCAGCAGCCATTCTAAAATAATAAGTTGCTTTCTCTAATTCATTTGATTCATGAAATTTTATGGCCATTTGTATGTATTCATCTGCCTCATTTAGATTTTCTGTTGTGTTTTGAGAATTTTTGGTCGTTGGTTCGCTTTTATTCATAATCATTGCGCCTGTATTTTTCTATAAATAATATATTAATTAGTATGACAACATGGATATTATAATAATGGTAGAATTTATTTAACCTTTAAGTTCCAATAAAGCTGTTTTCATTTGACCAACTAGAACACAGCAAAGGCAACCATTTAACATCTCTTGGACTTCAATATTACTTTCACGAACCAGCTCACTATCAACTTGTAAAATAAATATATCAATTACTCTTCATTTAAAGTAACTATTAATTATCATTATTTTTGAAACAAATTACCTTTCATGTCACCAAATTCATTTTTTAACAAACAAATTTTGTAACTCTTTGGAACACGTTTCAATAAAGAAATAATAATAGTTGTTTTACCAGAACCAAGGAATCCTGTGAAAACTGTCACAGGGATTTTTGAGCTTGTTTCCGCCATCTTTTTTTTAAATTACCAACTTATACTGGGACACACTTATTTAATACGGGGTAGACTGCAACAAAGCAGGGCCCCCGGACAGTTATAATCGAGTATGAGGTCACACCTTATAAATAAAATTTGCTATCTTGGGACCATTTTAAAAGATATAGGCATGAAATTTTATCAAACAGTCTGGCTCCTTGTTATCCTTACAACCTTTGATAATGTTGCTTTTTACTTTTATATATTCTATGTTGAGGGTAAAATGAAGAAAAATGGGGTAAAAATGAGCATGATGGAAGTTTGATTTCATTGGCTAAATTTTGTGATGATCTCCCTTCCAGACATCACGCAAAAATTAAATTT